AATAATTTGGTGTCGAATAAATCTGTGTCGAATCGAGCGGTGTCGAATCGTACTGTGGTCAATAGAGTATCACCCGACGGCGGGCCCCTCTGAACAATCTGCTACCGCCGTAGCTGAGAAGAAACAAGAGAAGAGGAAGGCCGACAAAAGCCTAGAGTCGGCTCTACAAGAGGGTCTGGGAGTGGCCGATTGCTCCCTTGTTGTGATGGGCATTGACGACCTCTTCGGCTACATCGCAGATTGCCTGGACAAACTTTGGGAGCGGCTTTGTCGTCGCTCCAAAATGTCCAAAGAGGAAAGGGCGGGCAAGCCGAGGGAGCTCCGTACGAGGATCATCGCGGGCTTGATGGAGCTCCAATCTCGGTATAGCCTCCGAGAAGCTTTCGACAAGGTCGAAAAGAATGTCGCCAACGTGGCCAACGAAGTAGAGAAGGTTGTTCGGAGGCAGGTTGCCTCTGAACGACAAATTTCGGAGGCCATCCGCCAGGTCAGCGAGGATTTTGATGAGGGTAATATCTCCTGCCTTGCTGGCCTCAAGGAAATTAAGAAGGGTGTTGTGGAGGCGCGTGCGGCGATCGAGGAGGTCCATAACGAGGCCTCCCGGTCGCTTCACGCGCTTCACGAAAGCATGGAAACGTCGCCGACGTCTCCATGCCGAGGCCGGAAGGAGCTACATGCTCCACTCCAGTCAGGGGGGAGAGTCAGATTCCTCCCTCGTGGCTGGAGGAGATTGAGAGAATGGTGCGGAGCCCCCGCTCCAAAAGTTTTTGGAGCTCCCCCGAGACGGCCCTCCTCTGTTAGTAGGACTCCTATTTCACCGCCTGTTCCTGTTAGGGCACAAGCGGAGGAAAAGGAGAAGAAGAAGAAAAAAAAAGAGAAAGAAGAAGAAGGAGAAGAAAAAGGAGAAGGCGGTAAGAGCAACCAAGGCGCCTACGAAGGGTGGGGGGACGACCGCTGGTGCCGGTCGAGGAGAGCCTTCTCCTCCTTTGATCCCGCCCTCGTCAAGCCAGCGGCCGCCTCGCGGGGTACTCCCGCGTACTGAGGCGGTCACCTTGCGTCTCGAGGGGGAGGGCATGTCGTATGCCCAAGTCCTTCGAGACGCAAGGAATAAGGTGGACCCTAGGTCGGGAGGCGTCTCCAGAATCCGTCGGACCCTGGAGGGGCATTTGTTGTTGGAGGTGGGAGGGGAGGACCGCAAATCCAAGGCGAACCTCCTCGCCACCAAGTTAAAAGAGGCTCTCCCTGAAGGAGTCAGTGTGGCTCGTCCGTCCCGAAACGTGGAGATATTAGTTTCGGGATTGGACGAGTTCACCACGAAGGACGACCTCCGCAGAGAGTTTGCGACAGAGTTTGGTGGCGGAAGTGGCGTTAGGGTAGTATCCCTGCGTCGCTCCCAGCCCGTGGGTGGAGTCGCCTTGGTCCGCTGCCCAGCTGAGGTAGCGGCCAAGGCGATTAAAGCAGGAAGATTGCCGGTGGGCTGGGTGATGGTGAGGGTGCGAGCACTCCGCCCCCGCCCTCTGCAGTGTTACAGGTGTTTCCAGCCTGGGCACTGCAGGGCTGTGTGCCCCAGCGAGGTCGACCGCAGTGATCCTTGCTATCGCTGTGGTCGGCCGGGGCACAAAGCGGCCGGCTGTACAGAGGATGAGGGGTGTCCCCTCTGTGAGGAGTCGGGCCGGGAGTCCTCCCACCGAATGGGCGGCGCCCGGTGCTCGGCCATCGGCCGGGGGGCTCCCGTGCCCGTTAACAAACCCTGACGAGGGTAAGGAGGATGCGGTTCTCCCTGGCTCCGATATAAGGATCCGGGGAGCCGCTCCTCCGTATATCTGGTGCGTTAAGCACCAGATATAATAGAGGGTAGCGCCTGGTCTCTTTTTGAGTCCAGGCGGTGTTAGATGGAGGCCCGGTCCCCGTTGTTTTGAGCTCTGGGCTCAACTCAGCGGTTACTGGGCGTAGTGTGGAGGGAGGACCTTCCTCTTGTCTCGTGATCTTTAAGACAAGAGGAAGGTCAGTATCAAGGGGTCAAGTCCGCTCCGGCGTTTGACTTGGGGCCGAGAGGGGTTTTTCCCTCATTGCACTCGGCCTGCAGATGGCGGAGAAGGGGTTGTGTCTCCCCTCCTCCGATCGTGGAGGAGCCTCACTCCTCCACCCAAAGGTTAGGGGGGCGTAAGTCCCCATGCCTGCTGGGTTGCCTCTGGGTTGTGCGAAAAGCGGTACCGGGGCAGCCCTATATGGGCTGAAGGTGGACACCGCAGGGGTTTTAGTGGGTATTTCCCATCAGGGTGCGCCTGGTGGGGTGAGTCCCACACTACCCTGCGTAGATTAAAAAAAAAAAAAAAAAAAAAAAAAAGGTCTGTCGGTCATCTGCTACGCAGATGACACTTTNGTAGTGGCNTCTGNGGAGAACTGGGACAGGACCAGGCTGTTGGCCGAGATTGGCACAAATTGTATCGTTGGCCGCATCGAGGGACTGGGTCTCAAAGTAGCCGTCCACAAGACGGAGGCCATGTGGTGTTATGGCCCCTGCCGTGGACGGCCCATAGGACTCAGTTTCTCTGTAGGTGAGGCACGGGTCGAGGTGAGTACTACCGTTAAGTACCTTGGACTTTACCTCGACCCGATGTGGCGCTTCGGCGAGCATTTTGCTCGCTTGGCCCTCAGAGTTAGGAAGATCGCCAACGCGCTTGCGCGTATTCAGCCGAACCTCGGGGGCCCGAGAGCGGGAGTCCGTTGTCTCTATACGAGTGTGGTCCACTCGGTGGCTCTTTACGGGGCACCGTTGTGGGCGGAAGCCGCAGCGAGGGCGGGAGCGCGGAGTAAGTTTGGTTTTCTCCGCGCTGCCCAACGAGTAGCAGCTTTCCGCGTGATCAGCGGCTTCCGCACGGTGGCCACGGAGACGGCGAGCGTACTGGCGAAGATGCCTCCTTTGGCCCTCCATGCAGGCATGTACTCGGCGAGTTATGCTCGCCGAGTCGAATTGCAGCAGGAAGGCGTTGCAGACAAC